TCTAAAGCAAATTTTATGCAAAAGCAGTGTTGCAACATTTAAAGAGCATTATAAATCAACCAGTACAGGAGTTATGAATCAAAATCAATACATTTGTTCATGATCAGTGAGGAAGAAAACACGTTCACGTTTTATTTTTTGCGCACGTATTATATTTTTAAACACACATTTTATGTTTCTTATACTGTTTAAATATCAAGCACGATGGAATAGACGCATAAACACTTTCATGCTTCCTTTATTGATAAAGTTACTGTTTGTTTTTTACTGGTTTTTCATTAGGTTAATTCAACATTTCGATTTTTAAAATGATTTCGAGTTCATTCTAGAGGTATGTTAAAACACGCCGATTTATTTTGTTATCGTGGGCTGGTTTGGCAGGATGTGCGCACAGTGTGTTTGTGTTGGCTGATAGACTCAGAATCAAGGAAATTAATTGTTGCCACTTTAGCCACACACACACACACGGATTACAGATCCATCAGATCCCGCAGTCACCCTGTGAATAAAACGAGCTGTAATCGCAATCATATATGTGTGGCTTCAGCTCCGCGCGCCATACCGTACCATTAGTATCGCAAATAAGTAATAATTTGCTAATGACAACATTATGTTGAGTCAGTTTAGGGGCAATTAAAGTGAGTGATATTTACATATGCCTAATGAATCACCGAGCGTGGCAGTTCGGGCGGACTCTAATGAATATTCATCCAGGCATTTCTCCCCTGCGCGCAGCAGTTTATAAACTGAATTATGGCTGATTTGCCCTTTTAAAAAATGAACATGGGCGCATCTCCCACAAGGAGGCGGCGAACAATAACGTCTGATTATAAAAATGTTTTACTGCTAAACTGCCGGTGAGGAGACGGCGGCAGCGTGGTAAAAGACTCTCTTTGGAGGGGTGCTGAGGAGGGAGAGCCCACCTAAAATCAATCCAATTTAGTCTGGGCCCTCTCCACCTCTTTTTAGACTGACAGAAATATTCGCAGCGTGCATACGGGGCGCACTCTGTCATCGCACTGGACATGTTCAGCAGCTGCTTTTACTAGAGGAGTCTGCCTTCAGGTTATCCCGAGCAGAGGTTAGACTCACACCAACCTTTAAAAGCGCGGGGTTGACTCGCTCCTCCACCCGCCTGTGATTTCTCCGGTAATTGCCCCCGGTTGGTGGGTGAGTCGGCTGAGCGTTGACCTCTCAGGTGCGGGGCCAACAGGCGGTATCGGTTTGCATTCACAGGGCGCTTAACAAGATGGGCTGCACGTTTATCATGCAAATAAGCAGCTCTCTAGCAGGTGTCAGCGCACACTCGCATGAGTGCGCACGCACACGTGCATGCGCGCGAGCAGAGGCTTTAACAGCACTGCAGTCATTATCGCATTACAAATGTAACCACAGACACACAAGGCTGACATATGCAGCTGTGCCTCATAATGACCAATGACCCAAAAACAATAATCAATGATAAAAAAAACCCAAAACATTAAAATCACACTGAGCACAACTGTAAACTGTTTATTGTAAACATTTTGCACATTATAAGCATGTGGCTGTATTATGTAGCATACATATGTGCACTCATAGCCAAGAGGCTTTGGGAAGCATTTTAATTTTTTTCATATATGTTTAGATTTTCAAATAGGCCTACAGATCCCCAATGTTTGAGAGTCTAAATCTTTTATTATTATATAATTAAAGATAATACTGACTGGCTTTATTAAGTGAAACATGCAGAATCGTTGCCTACAAATATAACACTCCTCACAAGCTTTATGCTGCTGTTGATAAATCATGACAACTTTTACATTTAGGTTAACTGGATCTGTAGATCGCTTCAGTCCTTCCTCAGTCCTTCAATTTGTCGCCACCTCTTTCATTCAAATGTATCTGCTGCCACCTTGTGGTTTATTTGTGCCACTGTCGTTTTTGGAAGTAGCACAAATGACAGTTGCACACATTTTATTTCACACGCTGCAACTTCAGTTGTCTGGATTATACTGTTTAGATGGGAAATGAATTTTTATATAATCTTTGTCTGCTCCACTTCAGCACTAAGACCACTTTATACAACATGTTCCATTCACCCCCAAAAAGCATACAAATACCTTCTACACTAAAAAAAAAAAACATGAAATTGGCTGGTTGTTACATGTACAAGATTCAAACTTGTAATTTGAACTAAATAATTTCATGTTTCTATGGTGAACATAATTGAATCATGTAGCATCTGCATGAAATTCAGCAACTTAATTTGTTCTTGTTGAGATGACCAAACAGCAAGCTCTATTTCTAGAGCTTGCTGTTTGGTAAATTACACTGGCCTCAAAGTACATCGACTGTCCCAAGGTGTAGATTTTGGTCCCAGTGACATTATTTCCAGACACATCTACAAGGGTGATACAATCTAGTAAGAGTGGTTCGTTACCTGGACTCACGACATTCACAAGATCACATTAGATGTCAAACTGCAGGAAAAACGTTGGAGTTTTAAGAGGCAGACAACTACACCCGCACCACATGTATGCTATCGCTGTTGTGGTTTAACCTGTCAAGGACAAAAACGTGCAGAAAGTTCTGCATCAAGCCTTGTAATCATAGCTTTCCTAGTTTTGCTAAGCCTGGATTGACAGCTTGGTGGCGTGATGGTTAGTACTGTTGCCTCACAGCAAGAAGGGCCTGGGTTCAAATCCACAAGCTGGCTGGTTTGTGTGTAATTAGAGTTGGGTTAAATGGTGATTCTAAATTACCCATGAATGTAAGTGCAAATGGTTGTTTGTCTCTATGAAATCATCAACCCCCATATCTGTTCATTAAGCAAGACTAGCAGTAATTGCCTTGATTAACAAAGTAGTTGTTCCAACAATGAGATTTCACTGTGTTTTCCAAAAGTTTTTAAGTTTTTGAAATTTTTAAACAAATTTCACTCTACATACTTAAATCAGTCACTTCAAGTCAATGCAAGTATACTACGTTGATCCAACGTAATCTGATTACATTAAACCACCAAATGCCAAATGTGTTGGTTTGACATGGTCAAAAATGGGTTATTGTACTTGGTTAAATCACGTGGAAAAAGGTGCCATGATTAAATTGTGTTCATCCAACAACAGATTTTTTTGAGTGTATCTAACAAGAACACAGTCACATGCCAGCGAATGCATCAGGAGCAACATAAGGTTCAATATTCGTCTCATTAGTAGATGGCCTGTTCTGTAATCCACAGCCACCCCAAACAATTTAGCTTATATATTTCTGCACTCGTAGCCAAAAAAGCTTTCATTTTTATATTCAGATTTTGTGCAATCTAATGGAAAAGTTTCAAAGAGTTATTTTGAAATAAGTCAAATTTATCCATAAAATAAGGTATTTACATTGTGGCCCATTCTTTTTCATAAATTCATCCTCAAAGACCAACTTCTTCCACTACACCAGGAGCTTTTTGGTGAGCTGAGAATCCATCTTCACTATATCATAGAAATTATACTGAACTCATGAAATCATAAAAACATAGAAAAATTAGGATGTAACTGGAACAACAACAACAACAACAAAAAGTTGTTTTTAATACTTTCACAAAAAGCTCTGCTGATCGCACAAAAAAATAATAAAAAGTCAGCTCGAGAAAGCAGAACTGGGAGGGATTCATAAAAACATGTTTTGCTTACAAATGAACTTCTTTAGTTTTTTTTTTCTAGCAATGGCAGACACGTGAGACTGTGTGTAAGTGAAGTGATTATAAGTCAACATTACACCAAATCATTTTGAAACAGCTGAATGTTTAGTTGCAATTAGGGACCCTCCATCTTTTCACAACATTCACTGTGGTTGACATTATGACATGCAGAAAAAAAACTGCTGCAGTATATGAAACGGTGTTGCAGCCTCACATTAGATTAAGGAAGTGGACCACAGCTTTCATTGTATTCTCCATTTTCTATCACGTACAGTGCTGTGAAAAAGGATTCAGCCCCCTTCCCATTTTTATTTATTTTTGCAAATTTGTCACACGTATTTCAGATCATCAATCGAAAATTAATATTAGTCAAAGGAACCAGGATAAATACAGCATGCAGTTTTTAATGTATTAATGAGAAAAAGGTTTCCAAACTTACCTGGCATTATGTGAAAAAGTCATTTTCTAAGCCTAATAATTAGTTGTGCCACTGGTTACTGCAGCAAGCACCACATTCAAGCATTAGTGATAACTGACAATGAGTCTTTCACATCTCTGTGGAGGAATTTTGGCCCACAGTATTTTTTTTTACTTTAGCCACTCTGGAGGCTTTACAAGCACAAATCGCCTGTTTAGAGGTTTGCTTGGAAGCTGCATTACTTCAGCTGCACAAGTGTGCTTGAACTTCAGGGCACGAACTGATGGCTGGACAGTTGTCCTTCAGGATTTTGTGTTAGAGATCAAAATTCATGGTTCAATCAATTACAGCAAGTCATCTATGTCCTGATCCTGAAGCAGCAAAAAAGCCCCAGACCATCACACTAACACCACCATGTTTGACCATTGATTTGATCAGTGTAAAGAATATTTTCCCATGAGTCATGCGGATTATCAAGATGGTTTTTGGCAAATGTGAGACAAGCTTTTGTTTCCTCTCTGGTCAGCGGTGGTTTTTCTCCTTGGAACTCTCCCATGGATGCCATTTCTTTCTCTTTCTTACTGTTGAACCATGAACTCTGATTTTAACTGATTGAAGTGAAGCCAACACTTAGATTATGTTATGTGCTCTTTTATGACCTCCTGTATGAGTCATAGCAGTTTACCCTCAATAAATAAAAATTGCCATTTTAAAACTGTATTTTGTATTTACTTGTTTGATGATCTGAACCATGTAAGTGTGCTGAATATGTGAAAAGAGGAAAGAAATCGGGAAGGGGCAAATATTTTTTTCACAGCACTGCATAGGAGTGCAAAAGAGTAAATATTGGTCGGCTGGATAACACAGGAAGGAAACAGATTGTACTTTCTAACCGCTGCCTTCAGCATAAACATAGAAACAGCAAAACTCTTTGATTTGCCTATTTTAACACACTATTAAACAACTGTGCAAACTTTTGGACCGCCTGATGAGATTAAAGTTATTGAACCAAAACCTCAAAACTTTTTCCCAGAACAAGAATGCAAAAAACAAATGTAAACTCTTTCAAATGCATTCAGTTTCCAAGAAACGTGGACATTTTCACCACTAATTCAAACGACTGAAATCCTGCTTTTAAAAAGAGATTAAACTATTTTTTTTATCAGTATACAAAAGTGACATATATGACAGATGTCTCTGGCAATTTCGGCAGGTGGAGTTCAGGGAAAGGCAGCGCACCACTGCTGTCTATGTGCGTCTTTACTGTGTATGCTTTAACCACTGCTCCCCCCTCCAGCACTGATTTGTGGATGATTCCCAGTCTGGCTTGTTCATAATACTCTGCTCCAAGCTCCCTGCCCAGGAAGATGTCTTGGACCTGTGCTGGAGACAGACTTAAATAATCTCTCCTTATGTCTGTGATCAAGTCCAGATTTGTGTCTATTTCTGTGTTGTACCTATTTGTGTCTAAATCAGCATTGTTTTCTCTGTCTGGGTCTCCAGTCTTGGCTCTGTTCAAATCTGGATAGGGATAAAATGGCTTCTGTGGCAGGTTGACCACCGTCAGCCTCTCCAGGTGGTGCACGGCAAAATATCCCTCCGGATTTAAAGGAGGCATCCCACTGGATCCGCAATAGATCAGTGTGAGGTGCCTCACCTCTGAGTTGTTGAGCAGACGTGCTGCATTTGACGGTGACGTGAACCAAACAGTTAAACGTCTCATCTGGAAAACAGGAGACAAGTGCGACTGTAGGCGGTGCAGTGTGGAGAGCTGGATGTCCTTGCATACGCAATCTGTAAGCGATGAGATGCTGCAGGGTTGTGGGTCCTGGCTGCAGGAGTAGTACAAAAAGCTGTTGTGGGTTACATAAGCCAGGTGCAAGTCAGATCGCTGCAGAGCCACCGAAACACACAGCAGCACACAGAGGAAAGGGGCAGGGGGGCTGCAGGCAGCCATCACTGCTGAAGAAGAGTCTCGAGCATCTTCATCATTCCTGCATTTAAACACAACATCACATTATTATCAGCAAATCACACCTATTGTTGCAGTCTTAGTGAATTATGACCATGATTATCAAGGTGAACAATGAATGAACAATTAGAAAGAAAGGCTACGATTCTCTGAACAGACAGTCGGTCTGTTCAGTTTTTTTAAATGAGTTTTTTATTGTTTTTTACAGTTCAATTCAATTCAATTTATGTAAATAGCTCTCTTCACAGGATAAAAACCACAAAAGAAAATCAAACATACAGCACAAATCGAATTAAAAGCCAATCTAAATAAATGAGTCTTAAGCTGCTTTTTAAAAGAATAAATACAATCAAGGCAACGTAATGATGGAGGGAGAGCATTCCACAACCTGAGGGCCACCGCTCTAAAAGATCTATCACCTCCGGTCTTAAAACGTGTTTGTGAGACTACCAGCAGCCTTTGGTTAGATGATCTCAGGCTGCGAGAGGGAGCCTGGGGTTCTAAAAGATCAGAAATGTTGGCAGGGGCATCACAATTCAAAGCTTTAAAAGTCCGTACCAAGATTTTAAGATGAATTCTAAAATGCACTGGAAGCCAGTGTAATGAACGTAACACTGGTGTAATGTGCTTTCTTTTTCATGTCTTAGTTATTATATTTCTATGCACCATAATATAGAAGTTTAAGTAAATGCTCAGTTTCCAGAGTGGATGATAACATTATGGGAATGATCATATAATAAAATAGTACAGCACTTAAGAAGAAACTTCCATTTCAGTGGTAAAAGCTTTAGGGCTGACTGTAAGGCAGACAGGAGTGGGACCAAAATGCAGACTTGAGAAATTGAGAAATAAGCTAAAAGCAGCTTTGTTGCTAAACTCATGGGAACAAAACAACAAACAAAAAACTGAGAAGGCAGGAACGAGGAACTTACAAATTAGGCACTATGCATGGGACACAACATGAGGGAGATTGCAACAAAGAACACAAGTTTAAATAGACAAGAGAAGAGGAAGGCAGAGGCGAGATGCCTGAAGAATAAACACACAGATGAACTACTTCTAGCTAATGAGACAAAGGGAAGCAAAACTGTACCGAGCACACACAAAACAATCAAAACTCAACCAGAAGGAACAGAAACACAGACAGGAAGGAAACCAAACACAGAGACAAGACAGACTTCACACAGGCAGGACTGGGCACAAAATGAAACATCACCTAATGAGGAATAAAGGACAACAACAGAACCCAAGCGCGTTTCATCTTGAGATTAGACGGATGGCCGGACATTCTCCTTCAGGATGTTTTAGTAGACGGCAGATTTCATGGTTCCGTTTACAACAACAAGTTTTCCAAGTCTTGAGGAAGCAAAACAGCCCCAAGTCATCACACTGCCACCACCATATTTTACTGCTGGTATGATATCCCTTTTCTGAAATGCTTTGTTACTTTTAACAAAATGGGATGCACACCATCAAAAAGTTTGTGGATCCAAAAAACCTTTGCTTTGTCAGTCCGTAGAATATTTCACTCTTCACACAGGCCCATGTAGGTTTAGATCTAATATCCCCCTAATTAAAAAAAAAAAACACTTTAAAACGGCTTTTTATTTTACCTGTGTTATCTTTGTCTAATATTTAAATTTGTTTGATGATCTGAAACATTTAAATGTGACAAACATACAAGAAAAATTCAGGAAGGGGGCAAACACTTTTTCACACCACTGTAACTCACAACCCTTGGGTCACAACCTAGGGACCATGCCAGAAAACAAACAGATAAAGTTGTATTGACTGTGTGAGCTTGAAACAGGGAGACATCAGTGTGAACATATTTTATCAATGACTTTCAATTTTCTTATTTTTTTCTCTTTTTTGTTTGCAGTTTTAGTTCGTTTTTATAGTTTGATTTATTCAGTCACTGAAAATAACAAATAGTGAACTGAGTTTGCTATTACTAGAGTAATAGATCCTGAACAAGAATTTAAAATAAATAAATAAATAAATAAAGTAAAAACAGTACACACACACAGGAGAGGTTTGAATTCAAAACTAGTACTGGTACATTGCACAAAGTGGATAGAACAATGAAGGAGGAGGAGGACTACCTCTAAATTCTTCAACATCACCTCAAATCAGCAGCTAGACGGACACGAAACACATCAAAATTAAATAAAGCAGGCTAACATTAAGCTTCTAGGATTTCCTTCTTAGCCTTGAGCTCAACCCAATTGAAACTTAGCGGACTATGCTTTAAAGCTAGGCACAGGCCAAGAAACCAACCAATTTAACTTAACTCCATCGCAATCTGCTGATTATGTAGAGTGAGTAGAGGGAAAGACCCATGATGCAAATACTGTACACAGGTACGATTTAACAAAAAATGAGTCATTTAATTAGGCTGTTGAAAATATCCATAAAATATCCATAAAGCAAAAAATAAAATCCAAAAGGTGAAACGCAGGCTATTGCCAGAGGCACAATGAACTAGGTACACTGAGCATGGAAACAGGCAATCGTGAAAGTGAACACAGCTGTGGAAAACAAGACACACCTGAACTAATCACGGAGGACAAGAAAAGGAGAGAAAAGTGAAATCTAATCTAGTTGTGACTTAAACATTATCTATATTTTTAAAAAGCTCTTTCAGTTCATGTCCGCTTTCATAAATGACTAAATAAAATGGACTGAGGTCACTCTGTACGTGTAATGCATTAAATATTTACTTACCAACACATGAAGAGAGGGGATATGGACGATATCTACAGATGGTTTGAATTAGGACCCACACAC